AGCATCTTCAGGTGATGTTCACGCTTCTTGACGCAGGAGCAGATGTGAAAAGGAAAACGCACCGAGGATGGACGTCCCTCATGCTGGCTGTATATGGGGCTAACAGGACAACAGAAGTGGTGAAAGCACTGCTCGATGCGGGAGCTGAGATCAACGCTGCGACCGATGAAGAAGACACGGCCCTCCACTTGGCGGTCTCATCCACAATTTCGCTGAGCACGGTCATTGAAATGACATTATTGGATGCTGGAGCAGAACTGGAGGCCAAGGACGATGATGGGGACACTCCGTTGATGGTGGCATCCTATTACGGGAACGTCGGTGCTGCGAAACTCCTTCTGACGTCCGGCGCAGATGTAGCCGCTCAAAACAATGAGGGAAAGAGCGCTTTAGAACTGATTTGCGCGTGCGAGATGGATGTAGATGTTGAGGGCGCGCGTCAGTGCCCAGCGGGTGGGTGCGAACAACCAGAGACGGCGGAGATGCTGAAGAGCATTCTGGGATGAGTTGGAGCGTCCATGGAATGTACTGGCAAAGTTCGCCACGCGCTTTTCATTGTCTTTCATGATTCGCGTCGACGTCATGTGAATGCAAAATGCACTGCTCAACACGCACCACACATAGAAAAGCGTGTAAATCATATACGCATATTTTACACAATGTTTCTTTCTGGAAGCTTGGAATCGCACAATACTTATACATCCGGGATGTCAATTCCCCAGATGCATCCCTTGATCATTGGAGCATAAAACTTTAAGCGTCGAATTCAAGATTGAATCTTCCCTTACGGCCAAATCAGGTCAGGCCCGAGGTCGCGGTGTGCCATCTCAGTGTGGTGCAATGGCCACGGCTCGCAGCGGCGAGCATCATATGGACAACTTCAACACGGATGGGATGGCTCGGCTTGAAATTGCCGGTCCGAAGTTAAGGGTCGACGAAACTCCATTACCCAAAAACTGTGTATCCACTCATCGATCATCAAATGGTGTTTCGTTCGCCCGATATGGTTATCGAAATTGCATTCACACCCAGATCTTTGGAGCCGGACAAAAATCAGCTGCTGCCAAGTTTTACCTCATTTGCTGCTTGAAAATGTAGTGGACAATTCAAGAGTTTAGATTGAGATTGCAAATATGCCGAACACCAGACCATTTTTCTATATTTGCCTCGCTTTAGCACATTATATTGATGATAAACAGTTATAAACATTTCACTCTTGGTTTCAGGCTGCCTTGGGGTCCTTGGGTCCTCTATTCCCACTGTTGCGTGGATCGCCTCCTTCATCATTGAATCTTTGCTTGAGCTTTCGACTTGATCCATGCGGCTTTGCAGCAATTCTTGAAATCTGAAAATGATGTTGGGATAAGTCCCAATGCGTAGCTCCTGTGTAGGCATTAGCTCTTGCGTACAGGACACGCAAATGAAGCATCGAAATGGTCATGAGATCCAATCTTGCCACAAGCACGCACACTTTCCGGTTCCATTGTTGAAGATTACGAAGCTATTTGGAGGTTTGCAATCTTGCACACTCCATCATTCCATGAGTGGCTTGACAGTGCGAGTACGCAGGCCTATCACTTGCGTCCCCGGCACCGCAACAACACATGCACATTTTTTGTGCACAGACATACGTAAATATGTGTACACGCACATTGACACATATTTATCTCGAGCAAACGTACCATTTCGCACGTTTTCGTTAACAATTTGCCAGATCGCCGCCTGCTCGAGCAAGCCAACACCCCGTCAATCTCGTGCTAGCAAACCGCGACGATGTCGCCAACACACGAGTAAAAAATCGACCAACATACACAGTTTCCAAGAGCATGAAAATCGTGTAAAACCTTGCCAAAACGTCTAAAAGTCATGCACACTCACTCAATAGTTACTACACGGTTTGTTCCCACTCTTAGGGAAGACATTATGTCTGGTACGCTTAGCGTCAAATTGACTCTTGTAGGCGGGGTACAGAACTGTGGCGCTAAGAGATTACGTAATTGACAAAAAAAATTTGACAAAGATAGGAAGGTGCCCCAAAGCCCCACTGACAAATGGCAAACAACCCCTGACGTGTTCCTAAGCCAGTTGCAAGTGTTCGATCTTCAAAGAAAGCTTTTGAACAGATCAATTTGCAGCCATTGAGGCTGCCCGCCCTACATATGGTGGCATTTAGAACCCCATTTTTCAGCCTCCTGAAATCAGCACAGCCTTCATTGTTTCTCTCCTTAGAAACACCTGGAAATTTGAATACCATTGTTAGGTAACGTTGCTGGGTCTTCCTGGCTTCGACATGAGGATTGACGCTAGAGGCGAGCTTAACGTCAAATTTGAATTGACGCGATGTTTAATTTTTACAAGTTTCCCGAATGCGTTACACCGCACACGATTTTCAAAACCGCATATTTTGGCCTGCTTCTGCTACTGACTGCCAGTTGTCCTCCACCCACTCCAGCACGCCCGGCAGCAGCTCGGCAGACTCCCTGATGTGGAACAATTGAGCCAATGGTGGAGAGTGGCTGTGTGCACGACGCCTCCGGCGAAGGGCAAGGGCTGTGTGTTGTCGAGGGTTGACTAATGCGGTCCGAGCACCTCGCTGCTGCACTCGACGCCTCCCGCCCTCGCTCCATGACTCGCGGATGTGAGGGTGCCTGGTGGATTCTTCGGGCCAGTTTACAGGGTGTTGCAGTGCTCGGGATGCGCTATGGACCCAGTCGGCGTCCTTCGCGTGATTCCCATTGACGGGTAGTGGTCTGCGCTCGTGCGGCCTTGGATGACACTGGTAAAAAACGGCATGTCTGCGATGCCAACTGCGATGCTATTTTGACACAAAGTGGTGCCGTCACAGTGATTGCGATGGCACGAAAGTGGCTGCGATGGCATCAATTTGTGTCAAATGGCGTCACAATTGGCATCGCAAACAGACCGTTTTTTGCTGGTGTGATGGTTCAACAGGCCGGGAGCTGGTTGGCTCGTTTTGCGCAATGGCAGTGCCTACAATTAGTACTTTTGTAGTCTACAGAATCTGGTAGTTTTGTAGTCTACAGTCTACCGTAGCTACTGGTGATGGCTACATGGCGCCGAATGACAGTGCTGCAGGTAATGAAAAGCGGGGCCGCTGGCATGCCACGAGCATGCGCCTGGTGGCCAAGTCAGTCGCAAGGTAATCCAGCTCCTCACCAGAGAGTAAGTTAGGACAGCTTCCCAACAGAGAGCAACGCGGCACAGCTTCCCAACAGGGCGGGACAAAAGTACAGACACTAGATACGGGCAAAGACATCCCATGGATGTCTCGCTTCGACCGCTTGATTTGCTGCCTTTCTCACTCGAACACTTGAACCGTTGCCTTGGGGCGACGACGGGTGGGCTGAATCCGTGCGTCATCCCCGTTGGTTCGCAGCGCCGCCCCAACCGCGACGCCAAGAAAATTAACGCGCCGCAGCACGCCACCCCACCGCCGTACTTTGCCACCAGCACTTCACGCTGGTACTTTACCGCTACGCACCATTACTTTACCACTCAGGCCCTGAGGTTGACCGCAACCGGGGCCGATGGACACAAAAACAACCGACCCAACGCAGCCTTTTTACCCCACCACTGCTCTTACCACTAATACTGTACATCAGTACTTTCCCCTAGTACTGTGTCGCTTTACTTTGTTACTGTACGGTGGTACTTGTCCTTGTACTTTGCCGCTTTATCCTAGTACTTTATCACTGGAACTTTGTCCTAATACTTTATCGCTTTACCCAGTACTTTGCCACTGTATACTGGTACTTAATCCACGTCCCCTTGCTGATTGACCCCCCCCGGCGCTGATTGACACATGACTAACCCCGCCCCTCAGTTTTGATTCGCTTGACAGAAACGCGCCCGAAACGTCGCCCGCGCCCCCCTGTCAGCCGCGGCTATAAAAACCCCTCCCCCCCCTTGACTCCCCCCAGCGCCCGCCTGGCACCCACAAGCGCGTCCTTGCTCGTGCTTGCTGCGGCCATCGCCGGGCCTCTCGATCGTGTCCAGGAACCTTCGTCCCCGCCTTCCAACCCGGAGCCATGCGTGAGGTGATCTCGATCCACATCGGCCAGGCCGGCATCCAGGTCGGCAACGCCTGCTGGGAGCTGTACTGCCTGGAGCATGGCATCCAGCCCGATGGCCAGGTGAGGGGCGGCGCCGAGGATCGTGAGCACGCGAGGGGGTTGACCGCAAGGCGGGAAGGGAGGTTTTCTCTTTTTTGAGCTGGCGGCGGTGGCGGCGTTTGAATTTCAGCCCCTGGAAGGCTGGGAGGGGGTGTTGGGAGAAGAGGGCGGGGGAGCTGGATGCGCGGGGTGTTGTGCGCGGACGTGTTGATTTTCCTGTGCTGTGATTCTCTGGTGGGTCGGAGTTTCGACAGGTCGGAGTTTTTTGGCGGCGGCGTCGTTTGAATTTCCGAAGGGGCAGTTCCGCGCCGGGGGGTGGGGGTGGGGGAGAAGATCGCAGGGGTCTGGATGCGCGAGGTGTTGTGGGCGGGAGGCTCGAGGGTTAATTCGCTGTGCTGTGTTGTTTGCTGTGTGGGTGTGGGGATTCAGCAGGGGCGGGGAAGGGGAAGGGAATGGGGGTCGAAGCGCGATCGGCTGATCTTGACCCAGAGCGTCGCTTGAGATGGACGAACGAGAGAGGCGGGGGTGCCGGCCGCGGCAAGCGACCCCCCCCGATGGGATTTATGCGCCTCGCGCCGTGCGTTTGTTTCTGTCGTTGTGGAACAGGGGCGTGCTGGGCGGGCGACGCCTGATCGCACCCTGGGCGGTGGTCACCTTTTCGACACACAAAATTTTTGGCGGGCGCTGCCTTCGCTTTGAAAAATTCTCCGCATTCCTGTGCCGGGCGGGCGAAGTCCGATTTCACTCTGGCCGAGCATTACCCTTCGACACGCGAAATGTTTGGCGGGCCGTGCCGCCGCTTCCAAGCCTGCGAGACTTTTTCCGCTTCTCTTTTCTGTCTCGCTGAAAATTATGTGCCCCGCGCAGATGCCCTCGGACAAGACGATCGGCGGCGGCGACGACGCCTTCAACACCTTCTTCTCTGAGACGGGCGCCGGCAAGCACGTGCCTCGCTGCGTCTTCCTGGATCTCGAGCCCACGGTGATCGACGAGGTGCGCACCGGCACCTACCGCCAGCTCTTCCACCCCGAGCAGCTCATCTCCGGCAAGGAGGACGCCGCCAACAACTTCGCGCGCGGCCATTACACCATCGGCAAGGAGATCGTCGACCTGTGCCTGGACCGCATCCGCAAGCTCGCGGACAACTGCACGGGCCTGCAGGGCTTCCTGGTGTTCAACGCCGTTGGCGGCGGCACGGGATCGGGCCTGGGCTCCCTGCTGCTGGAGCGCCTGTCCGTGGACTATGGCAAGAAGTCGAAGCTGGGCTTCACGGTGTACCCCTCCCCCCAGGTGAGGCGAATCGCGGCTGACATCTGCCCCGCCGACCCCTCGGCTGCCGAACGGGGCCCCTGTTCGAATTCCCAAGCCCGGCTAGTTGAGTCTCACCTGCCGTACCCAGTTTACCTGTTGTTGGTCGCGTACCTGATTTTGGTTGCCTTCGCCCAAAGCCTTGTCCGCCCAAAGCCTTGATCCACGACATTTTGCTCGCTCGCCGCGTCTCGATTTTCTCCTTCTCGAGTTTTGAAGTTCCCGCCGTGGATATCAGCCGCCCAGCTTTGTGCCTCCGTCGACCCGCTCGCCGCCCAGCGCACCTTCGCCAAAGCGATGGCGCTTTCCTGTTGTGCCGGCTGCGATCTGAACGCTCCTGCACGCTCGCCCCCTAGGTGTCCACGGCCGTCGTCGAACCCTACAACTCCGTCCTGTCCACTCACTCCCTCCTGGAGCACACCGACGTGGCCGTCATGCTGGACAACGAAGCCGTCTACGACATCTGCCGCCGCTCCCTGGACATCGAGCGCCCCACCTACACCAACCTGAACAGGCTCATCGCCCAGGTCATCTCCTCCCTCACCGCCTCCCTGCGTTTCGACGGCGCCCTCAACGTTGATGTCACCGAGTTCCAGACCAACCTGGTGCCCTACCCCCGCATCCACTTCATGCTTTCCTCTTACGCGCCTGTGATCTCTGCTGAGAAGGCCTACCATGAGCAGCTGTCCGTGGCCGAGATCACCAACGCCGCCTTTGAGCCGGCCTCCATGATGGCCAAGTGCGACCCCAGGCACGGAAAGTACATGGCCTGCTGCCTCATGTACCGCGGGGACGTGGTGCCCAAGGACGTGAACGCTGCTGTGGCCACCATCAAGACCAAGAGGACCATCCAGTTCGTGGATTGGTGCCCCACCGGGTTCAAGTGCGGCATCAACTACCAGCCGCCCACTGTGGTGCCTGGCGGCGACCTGGCCAAGGTGCAGCGCGCTGTGTGCATGATCTCCAACTCCACTGCCATCGCTGAGGTCTTCTCCCGCCTCGACCACAAGTTCGACCTCATGTATGCCAAGCGTGCCTTTGTGCACTGGTATGTGGGTGAGGGTATGGAGGAGGGTGAGTTCTCTGAGGCCCGTGAGGATCTGGCCGCGCTCGAGAAGGATTATGAGGAGGTCGGCGCCGAGTCTGCTGAGGGCGAAGGCGAGGAAGAGGGCGAGGAGTACTGAGCAGTGCTATGCAGCACCTCGATGGAGTGCACGATCTAAAGTACAGCAGTATCTGAGTGGTGAACACTGTGGAGCGCATTGAGTACCGAACAGGACTGGAACGTTTGAGATGCTGAACACGATGCAGAATGGGCTGGAGTGAGGCCCTGTGCCGGTGGACGATGGATTGCCTATTGAGAAGTGTGTGTGTGTCTGTTGGTTGTCTGTGCTGAGGCTGCCTGTGTGCAGATGCTGATGTTTGATCTGACGATGTAAGGTTCACCGGTCGAGCTGCTGAAATGTTGGCGCTAACTGTTCATAGTCAACTGTTCGCAGTCAGCATCTACCAGGGCTGGGGCTGGGAGGAGGTCAATGCTTAGCTCTCCTGGTCCAACAGCTAGGGTTGTCTGTGTCCACAAGCTGCAGTTGATCGAGTGAGTCATGCAGCACAGTTGTCACTGTTCAGGCTAGGTGCCCGCCGATCCTGATAGGATGGAGCTGTTTGTTGCAGGACACCTTTTCTGTTTCGCTTCTTTCCAAAAGCTGCATGCCGGATTGCTGGCAGGGTTCGGGTGCCACCACCCTCCTGACGGATTCGATGTAGGTCTCTGCCTTCAAAGGTGAAGGCACAGACCCGCATCTCATCCGTCAGTAGGGGAGTGGCAGTTGAACGCTGGCCGGTCGAATCCCGCATATGAGAACTGAACCCAGAACAGCTGAGGATTGATCGCCAAACATGTCTTACCCGCTCGCGGAATTCGGTCGTGGAATGTGCTGAATCTGAGACCTGAGCCTGGTGCATGTGAGGCGCCCTGCGCCACCAGCATGGTAATGCAGTTGTCTACACTGATCAAAACACACGATGACAAAGGCCATGGGCCTGACAAGCGAGGGGCTGGCGTTCAACTTCTGTCCTCCTCGATGCACAGTCAATCACAAGGGAACGCACTATTTTCGTATTTGGACGCTTTGTTGTGGGCGTGCCAGCTTGAAGATGGTTGCAATGACCGGCGCTGCACCATAAACGAAACTGTTGGTAGGCGGGCGCCAGGGAGAAGACAGAGCCGCCCAGCGACTGGCCATTGCAGTTTCCTGGGCCTCTGAGGAACTTAAAAAGGCTCCGTGTTTTTATGGGAGAATCCAGGACGTTTAGTTCGCAGTGTAGGTTCTGCTGGAAATAGAAACTCCTTGGAAAGTCCAGTCGCTTTTTGTTTCCCCGGGTTCCCATTGCTGTCGGGAAGCTGGCAGTGTCAGGGGGCTTGCCTACGGACGGCGCCCGACTCCAGGGGCAGCAAATGTGTTTGCCTGCTAACAAAAACAGAACGCACTCTGTGGTGCAGGGCAATGCACCAGTTGAATTGCTTTTTGAAGCGCATGGGCACGAGTGATGTAGGGGGCGCCTAGACCGCGTCATCTGCCCACCCAACATGGCCTCCGCGCTGCGGCTGTGCGCCCAGGCGTCCGCCGGCAAGGCGGCGTGCCTCGCGGCCCGCGCCGCCCCCGAGGCCCCCGGGCCCTCCGCCGGCGCCGCTCGAGGCCCGTTGCCCGCGGCGCCGCTGTCGCGCCGATCGGCCTTCGCGGGCGCGACGCTCTGGTGGGCGGGCGTCGGCGAGGTGAGCCCCCGGCGTTTGGAGGATGCGCTCAACGAACAGTAATTGCTGGGCATGTGGAGGATGGCACGCACAAAATTCGATGCGGGTGGCAAGCGCAAGATCCAAAGACACATGCCTACGGGTATCGCGGACGGCCGCATGGTGGAATGGATTGTTTGTTCTTGCGCGGATGCATCGACATGAATCGATGCATCGGCGGCACGAGATTGATCAATGCAGCGTGCGAGTCCAGTGCACGAAGGTCGCGTCCGGGTCCGCTCGCGCTATGAGTGGGGGATGGCAGTCAATGGTACGATTTGCGGCAAAAGAGAAAGACAAACAGGTCGTGCAAAGGGCACCCCCTCCTCAGCAGGTGTGTGTGCAGCACTGTTTTCCGTGCAGCCGTTGGCATTCGTTGGTGTGCGAGGCGCTGTTCAGTTGAGGGCGGGGCCGGTGATCGAGCGGCAGGATGTTTGTGGTCAAGATGTTCATTGCAGTGATGTGGAGGCACTGCAATCCCTGCATGTCCACAATCGCGCTGGAGCAGGTGCC